GCTGTCCGGGGCCCTCGTTGAGATTTCACTCACCAGGGAACCCGGCTGGGCTGGAACTTGGGGTCCTCCTGCCTCAGCCTCCAAGTGCTGGGGCGACAGGCGTGCGCCTGCACCTGGGCTTAAATCGGTTGTGGATCACACTTGTGGGACTTGTTGTGACCACCGTGTCCCTTGGCCTCGTGGGCCTGGGCTGCGAGGAGCCCCTCTGCGCCACCCTGCCCTGGCCCTGGCCCCAGCCCTGCTTCTCCCCCGCAGGCTCTGATGCCCAGGACTCCCGCGCCCTGAGCCTGTACGTCCCCGTGGTCCTGAGCACCCTGGTGTGCGCCCTGGTCCTCGGCTTCCTGTTTAAAAGGTAACCCCAAGAGGAGCCTCTGCCCTGCACCCCAAAATCAGGGTGGGACCCTCAGGGCACAGGGAATGAGCTGGCATAGGTTCAGCTCTCCCATACTCAGGTGTGACCCCAGGAGCTAAGGACAGCCCACAAGGGGAACGCGAACCCCGCGTCAAAGGGGTCTGAACCAGTGCTGGTCACTGCCCGTCAGCAAATGAGTGGATTAAGAGAGTGTGGTCCATGTGGACTGAGATAGTACACAGCCATGAAAAAGGGTAGAGCCGTTTAGAACAGAAGGCTGGGTGAGCAGTGTGATACGTAGACGGCCATTTGTTAATGGAACACGACGGAACCACGGAGGAGGATCAGACCATGTCATTCGCCACAGAAAATGGGTAAGGAAAATGGCTCTGGTACAGAATGGAATATTACGTGGGCATGCGAAAGGTGAACTTAGGCTGTGTGTAGCAAATGACCAGATAAGGAAAAGCGGCTGCGGTTGTATGGTCAAGTCTTGTGCTGTGAATAACTTGAGCTGAGAGCGTTCTGCAAGATGAACATGCATATGTACATGTATACGTGGGTTAATACTACGCAGCCATGAAAAGGGCCGAGGTTGTGCTATTTACAACAGACGCTGTCTGGTTAAGAAAAGGTAGCTCCCAAATACACCGTGGAATACTATGCAGGCACAGTAAAGGACAAGCCCGGCCATTTGCAGAGGAATTGAAGCCAGCATGCAAAATGGTGCTCAGCAGACCCGGAAAGTAGAGCACTGTCCGTTTCCTGTGACGGGCAAGGGGGCGGGCAAGGGGTCTCCTCGGAGCTAGGAGGCTGTTCCCAGGGCACAGAGGGCCTGGGAGGCACTGTTGATCGGCGTGGTCGGGACACAGGCGGTGCGGTGGCCCAGGCGAGGGCCCGGCACAGCTCCCCAGCGCTCTGCAGCTCCGGTTCCCCCCCAGGTTCCTCGGGGTCCGCGGTCTGTGCCCCCGTGTCCCGCGGGTCAAGGACAAGCTGAGTGAGCTGGACGGA